GTGTGAGAGAGAGAGAGTGTGTGTGTGTGTGTGTGTGTGAGAGAGAGAGAGTGTGTGAGAGAGAGAGAGAGAGTGTGTGTGTGTGTGTGTGAGAGAGAAAGAGAGAGAGAGAGCCGCTGCGGACCTCAAGCAATCCAATTCATCAATTAATGCTGATTGTGATTAATTTCTTCAGGATTCTGTGATGAACAAAGTGCAATTAACGGTATTTAGCCTATTTGAAATAATTTGTAACATTGTAAATATCTTTACTGTCACTTTTGATCAGATCAATTCGATTTGTCATCAATTAGCTAATGTTGACATTTAGGAAAAACTGTCTTCTACTAGATTAAAAATGTAAAATAATAATAATAACAACAACAACAACAACACAATTTTTAGACATTTAACATAATAGCCTAATCTCAAGGTATTCTTATACCATTATAGGATATGAATAAGGTAATTATTAGAAAAAAAGTCCTAATCTTGCATTTATTTGATCAAAAATACAGTAAAACTGTAATATAATCAAATATGGTACATTTTCAGCATCATCTTCAGCATCACATGATTCTTCAGAAACATACTAATATGATTTGCCATCATAGGAAAAAAATAGATTTTAAAGTATATTCATAGCAAACAGTTATTTTAAATTGTAATAATATTTATTGTATTTTTTGATAAACAAAGACTTTTTTTAGGAACACAAATGTCACCTGTTATGTCAAATGCCCCCTCGTTTACCATCATTTTACCATGGTACCACCACAGTACCACAGGAATTACCCTTACAACTTACAACAAAGTTCTGTGATGATACCATGGTACAGTAATAGTATTAGCAGTAATTCCATGATACTTTTATATTTATCATGGTACTGAATACCTGGCAAGCAGCCAGAGACTCATCGCGCCTTCAAAATAATCCAACTGAGGTGCATAGACCAAAACAAGTTTCCCAAAGGTGAAGAGCTTGAAAAAAGTCCGCACACTCAAACATCGAAGAGTCACAAGTGAGATGAAAACAATATAATATGTAAAGCAATGGATAATCTACATCAAATTAGAGAATAATGGTTGTCTGTTGGAGTTAACAAAAGTACAATTCATAAAAAACAAGACAACTGAAGTTCTTCATTTAATCCCTTCGGATATACACAGTCCATATAATAGATCCACTTAGCTTCACATTGTAACAGTCTTTTGTTAGAATCACCACCTCTTCTTGAACTGATCAATCTCTGAATACCTGTAAATCTCATATCACTAAGTTTATGGTCAGCATCCGCAAAATGTCTGGCTACAGGAGAATGAATATCCTTCCTTTTAATAGAGCTCCTGTGCTCGTTGATGCGGGTCTTTAATTGACGATTACTCTTGCCAATTTATTGTAGACCACATGGGCATGAAATAAGATAAATAACAAAAGATGATGAACAAGTGATGTCTCTCTAATTTTGAATGTTTTCTGAGTGGTGGTGCTAGTGAAAGAATCCGTTTTAATTGCATTTTCACAAGCTGAACAAATCCTGCATGGGAAGAAGCCAGTGGAATGATCCAAAGTCACATATTTGTTCTCCTTAATGAAGGTATCAGAACTGACTAGATGATCTCTATGTTGCGTCCCCTATAATATGAAAAAGGTGGAGGCACCTTGAAGATTCTATATCCAATGTCATCAGCTCTCAGTACATGCCAGTGTTTATTGATGATAGACTTTATTGTCTGACTATGAACAGTGAAGGTTGTACAACACATATAAGGAGGTCTTTGAGATGTCTTGGATTGTGATTTAACTGGTGTAGATTTTACCTTCTTGTTACTTTCTTGATTTAAACTCAGAATTGCGAGAGATAAACTCAAGAATTACGAGAGATAAACTCAGAATTACGAGAGATAAACTCAGAATTACGAGATATAAACTCAGAATTATGAGATATAAACTCAGAATTACGAGATATAAACTCAGAATTTTCAAATAATCCTGTTTTTATGTATCTGGGCCATTTAGTAATTCAAACTCTTTCCAGGTGTCAAAACGTACAGTTTGGAAAACTGTATTTAAACATATTTATGATCCCAGAAAATCGATATGGAATTTAAAGAAACAGACATAAAGAACACTTCTGCAGCTGGCAGTATATCGATCGATACAGTTTAACCCATTTCAAATGAAGGTATATTTCAAATAAACCTGATTGCCGTGACAATTGAGATGTTATTAAAAGAATAACCTCATGAAAATAAGGAAAGCATTGCGTTCAACAAAAGCAAAGCAGCAAGGTTTATGTATGTAAGCTATTAATTTAATCTTTTACTAATTGACAATAATTCCACAATATTATATTTCAACCCAGCAGACTTCAACAGCTCTTTGAGAATGAAACAGATGTGAATGGATTTTCTGTGACATGATGTGCGACTATAAAGCGCTTGCACTTCATCAAAGACATCTGAAGATAATAAACGAGAAACACTCATGTACTGAGGTTTGCAGAAGCGCTGTGAATGAGCGCTGGAGGTTGCAGGTAGGCAGAAGAAGCCCACGGCCTTAACTCAACGCTCATTTATTGAGTGGGAAGATGTGAAATCAGGTTGGAGTTCACTGCCTCTCGATATGAAATAAAAGCGTCTGTTGGCAGCATTTTTCAGCTGAAAGAACATCATTTACTTCATACGGCTCACTGCAAACCTGGAGGAGATGATGAAAATCACTGACACCATCGCTCCTGATGAAAGAGAAATTCTGCTGTGCATTACATTCAACTATAACATAAAGACCCGAGCTGAGAGAGTGCTCTCAATGGGAGAAGAAATCATACCTGCAAAATCCTGATCATCTAATATCCACAATGATCTCGGCTGACAGCTCGACTCATGCAGTTGTTGTTTTTAACTTGTAGTGTAAATATGTGCATATTTAAATGTAATATTTTAATTATTACATTTAAATATACACATACGTATTTACACTATAAGTGTAAATAGTCAAATCACTACAGAATGGTGAATTTATATAGTGTGTGTGTGTGTGTGTAATGCAAAGAATGAAAACAAATTTAACAACTTTATATCGCATTTGCATTTTCTAATTTCACTTTGATGTACTTTTGTTCTTCCCAGCATGTTGATAATTCAAACCGTGTAGAACAACAAAAGAGAGAGATGCATTCACGTGCAGCCAGTCAGTCAGACAGATCTGCATGTAAACTGTGTTTCTAAAAGCGAGGCGTTTTATTTTGTTCATGCTGTGATCAGCAGCGAGTCGAGGGAAACGCTGACGCCTCTCAGGCGATTTCTGCGTCCCACGAGGAGAAACTCAGCAGATCTGAGTCATGATTCCAGCACACACATTCAGAGGACCTGCTCAAAAACCAGCCCACTTCATAATACTGTGCATATTAGTGAACCTGAACCTCATTAGTCCCAGATCTCCAGTCAAGTCCCCTGAAACGACTGAAGGAAGAGAGAGTGAATCACTAATTAACCAGCAGAGAAACAACATGACATGATCAGAACTGCTTAGTGTTTTCTTAATATAATTCATAATAATTAATGTAATATCACATGATGATTTAAAATACGACAAAACAAGCATTAAAATCAGCTGAAAACAACTAAAAATCTAATCTATTTCTTATTTTTTTTAGTTCATCCCTTCAAAAGAACCAGGATTCTCACAATCAATTTTTAGACCTGGAAAATCTTAAGACGCTGGGCATTTGTATAATGAACATAAAATTTCATGCCAATTAAGCTCTACAATATTTTTTATTGGATAGAAATTTAGTGTATTTTTTTTTTTTTAAGATATTAAAAATATCATTTTTAAAAATTGTAAAAATAAAATATTACAATTATTTTATTAAAATATTTGTATCCTTATTCAGTAAATAACGAACTGGAAAAGTCATGCAAACTCATTGGTTAAAAAAGATTTCTAGTTCTGAAAAAAAATAAATAAATCATACAAATTAATAAAATCATAAAACGCTATGCATCTGTGTAATTATTATACTTTTTTCTATGCCAAGTTCTAAAATATTCTATTGGATAGAATAATATAGATGATATCGTGCTTTAAAAAAAAATATTAAAAATTAAAATTATTTTCTTAAAATATTTTTAATCTCTATGCAGTAAATAATGAACAACTAGAGAAGTCATGCCAAATCATTGGTTAAAAAGATTTTTAATTCATAAAATCAAAAGGTTATGCATCTGTATAATGAATAAGCATTTTTCTATGCCAAGTTCTAAAATATTTTTATATTTTATTGGATAGAAATTGAGTTAAAATATTTTTGAAAAATATTATATTTTTTTTATTTAAATGTTTGATCATTTTATAATTTTTTATGTATTTTAAATGCTAAAAATGTGATATATAATGTGTATATATATATATATATAAATAAGTGTATATAATTCAGAGGCAGATTCATAGCTTGTTTCCTCAGTCTTCTGTCACTTACAGTAATGCAGTCGTGTCTTTATTAAAGTCATGATCTCATTTGTTCTGAATGTATTGGTGCATTTGGTCCATTTATAACGAGCCACTAATTACATCCTGGCAAACAAGCATTTTTAGTGGAACTCTTTCCAAATATGTGAAGTATTAGAGTGTCTTTGAAGATGCTGACTTAAATGAGCATCTTTCATTAGCATGAATCTCAGCTCTTCTGCGACAAGAAGAGAATCTGAGCTCAAATCTCATTCACTTACAAACGAGCGACTGCGAGTCTCTCTCTTCTTCATCCTCTCAGGAGACTCTCGTGCTCTGATGAT